CACACACACACACACACACACACACACACACACACACACACACACACACACACCAAAAGCACCTCTCTCTCTCCACAATGCGCAATGCGTCATGACTCCCTCAGCTGAGGTGTCCTGCAGTATAATGAATCCTGACCTGTGATCTCTGCGGTGTTTTCACTCCTAAAAAACACTTTGAAACCAGAGCACGTCTTTTATTTTGAATGATGCAGGCCAATCATATTTAAGGAGCCCCCCTGTGTGGCAGATTAAACTTAGAAAACATTTTATACAGTTTCGATTCTTCTTTTTTGATATTTTACCCTTTAAATCTGCAGTGCAGCTGAAACAGTCTGTCTTTCAGCTTTTTAAAAAAAAATTTATTTTTATAAAATCATGGTCTCACTGTGAGTAACATGTGCGGGCAGGGCTTTGATGTCGATCCGCGTCGAATAAATATCGAAATTCCGTTCTTTTCGTGTAATATCTGCTCTGAGCGATTCTGTGAATTCAGCACAAAAAACTGCTTGCTTGACAAATTTACTGTACAGTCTGAGCTGCTGCAGTGCTGCAGTGAGCCCCGAGACTGACCCCTGCTGGCCGCTACACGAAGTACAGGCCGCCCGTTCAGCGCTGTGGTCGCTCTGCCGCTCTCTCACCCTCATGGAGGAAAATATATTATGAAGGAGAAATATTAGCAATAATATAGATCCGTTTAATGGATATGATTGATGAAGTACCCATGCAAGACGTGGTGCATTAATACGTCCACATCATATATTATATATTGCATATATCATGTAGTGGGGGTGGACAGAAATATATGAACATCTTTACAATCTCATACAACAGCCCTGCAAAAATAATAGAAATACTATGTTTACTTAGTTTTTATTTTTCCCATTTTTGTGTCAAAAAAGACGGCTATGAAGTCGGATTTTTTTAAAGCTATATTTTCATATTTTCTTTATTATTTCAACCCCATTTAGTTACAGAAAACTCTGTCTTTCTCTGCCTCTGAGTGTTTAAGTCATTGCTTTGTAAAAGATAATATGCAGTTGTTTTTTTTGTCGTCAATTTAGACAAATACATTCTCAGTGCAATTACATGTGTTCTGCATTAAAATGCCTTAAAAGCAGGATATAAAGAATGTAAGATATACAAATATATATATATATATATATATATATATATATATATATATATATATA